AGATGAAGATGAAGATGAAGATGAAGATGAAGATGAAGATGAAGATGGAGATGAAGATGAAGATCATAAACATAACCTTAAATAACATTAACTTAAATAACGATAGTGACAAAGATAGAGAGGAAGAATGTGATAGGGATAAAAAGGAGATACAACTGAAGAATGTGCGATGTTATGTTATAGTGTGTTATGCTACATATGTTATGTTATTTAATCTTATGGTATGTCATGTTATGCTATGAAATATTATGATATGCTAAGTACTAAGCTAAACTCCCCTCCACTTAACCCTTTCCAACTAATGTTATTTCACCTCAACTCTACTCACATAATCTATACTTAATTTTAGCGGTTGAATTTCAACCGCTCGGCGAACACTAGTAAGTATGTATAAATATGTATACAATCGATTTTTATATATCGAGCCCTAACCGCCAAAATAACGTAAGCGACATTTTTTTCAAAATTTTATTTTTGATGCAGAAGTGCATCTAGAAGCTCTAGGAATATTTCTGCATCAAAAAGAGAATTTTGAAAAAAATGTCGCTTATGTTATTTTGGCGGTTGGGGCTCGATATGTAAATACATATAATCATTCATCTAGAACCTTATCGAAAACCTACCTGAAAATCAAAAAGTTACCGTTTTTGAAATCGGCACTTGCCACGGTTTCAAACTTCACGTATTCTAACTCGGGAACATCCAAACAGCTGCGTAATTGCTCATCATCATCGACTGCGGGCTCGGTTTTTTTCTCCACAACTTTCCGTGCTGCTACCATTCACTAGGGTGGAAAACTGTTCCCTCCATAATTTATGTACTTTCTGGACATCGGTCACCAGATCGCCATTGTTCTTACAGCAGTTCGTCCTGGTCTTGAAACCTTCCGTAAGTCGCCTAACTCACACACAGAATTTTTGCGAGGAACATCTTTCCTCAAAAATACAGTGGTCGGCGTAGCTGGAGTAGGACCCACAAGGGCTATTTTTTTGTTGAAAAAATGACATCGACGTCGACATCGACAACCATAAAAGAGCCGAATATTATTTTCAAAAACTGGAAACAAATTTTTATTATTTCACCAAGAAACTTATGGCCTTATTCATAAAAAATAAAGTAGCTTTATAAAAGGTGTATATATTGAAAAATTTATGAAAACGTCAATTTATAAAGCTCTTTAAACCTACTATATTTTTTATGAATAAGGCCATTAGTTTTAAACTTGTATGTATACATATTATAAGTAATCCATTTTTGTTATATAACATAGAATAATCAATGTTTCAAACACGAAAAATATTTGACAAATTTATGGCTGCTTTTGTTTTATGAAGGGATCAGTTATTTTAAAAATCACAATAACCATTTGTTTTTGCCAATATTTGGGGGTGTTTTTCAAAATACACTATAACTATAAATTGATATATTTTAACGGAAAACTTTAGAAAATATATTATTTTATTCTCAAAATACTTACCCGTATAATAAATTTATTAGCCACAATATTGTTACCGCTTGGAAAATGACTTAAAACTAAGAGTGGTAATTTTCCGATAGTATCGATAGTGTTAAAAACTGTCGATAGTAGACCGAAACCCAAAACCTCTCTCTCTAGTGTGCAAAATCAATTCGGAGTCACCATTCTTTTCTAACAGCCAACTGTACGTTGTGTGCTCTCGCATTTGTAAGCCTTTGGCCCTCTATACTCGTATTTACTGATAGGCAAAGAAAGAAAGTCGTGTACCGCATAGCAGTCGAATAATCATGATATTTTGAAACCTTTATTCCATTCCAAACAAAGTTAAAACAAAAAATCATGTGAAACACTTCAGCCATCACCGTTCGTTAGTTTATTTAAGTAATATTGTACCAATTTCACTTTGTCATCAACACATTTCCCTTAACAAACCTTATTAAGAACAAGTATTATATTTTTTCTTCTATGTATTCCTTGTTTTAGAAATACATTTTACTTGTATATTTAAATTTTACATTGTATTTTTCCTGTGTTACTTTTTTGGCAGAAATATATATGAACGCTTGATTATAGGTGTTTTTTTACACGCATCTACTCTTAATGTGCAAAAAAAACAATCATCGGCAATTTCAATTTAACAACAAGTAATTTTGATTTTATCGACAATTATTCATAAGGGCACATAAAGTTTGTCGCTAACAGCTCCAAACAAATTTTAAGCGCAGATACGTATGCGCATGATACAAAAAAGAAGGTAGTTTCAATAAACAACTTTTTGATTAAAAAGCAGATTTCTGACATTTGCTCAATTGTGAAAAATTCGAAACGACGTTACCCAATTTAAATTTTTTGGTGTAGGGGATTTTATATCATACATTTGGGGTTTTAAATAAATATAAAAGATGTATCAACCTTTACCTTTTAAAAATAATTATCATCTTATCTTAAAAATGTTTAAATTTCACATTAAATTCGATAACCACTCTCCAAAATCATTATTTTTAGATTGATAAAATTTTAGTGAACATATCCTCGGTGATACTGCAAAACGTTCTATGTCACTTATTACCTCTGGTGCTTAACTGATCTGTATCTGGTCGCTTCTGTCAATCGTTCATCTTCGTCAGCCAAAGGTAGACAGTTTCGTCATTCGTTTGTTAGGGTGTAGCGATTTGCAGATGCATTCCGGTGCAAGTAAAAGACCATCCAAGTGTCAAGGGTACTAATAGACATAGAGCGATTTGCAGTATCACCGGCGATATTTTACATTTTTTTAGTGTCCTTATGTCATCTGATTATTTCACAATATAGACATTCGTTGTTGTTGTTAGCCTTTGACTTTTAATAAAATTATGACATTTCATTAAATTCATGCTACCTGATCACGAGTAGTAATATTTTCTTTTAAGCAGAAGATTTCATCAGTCCACTCAAAGATGTCGAATATGATGAACCTGGAAATTAATGCATAATCTCCAAAATGGGGAGCGGATGCGGATGGGGTGTGGCACATAAAACCGCACCCATTAGAGAACGGTCAAACTTTAAGAAAAATCACCCTTTCCTTCTCCGACCACTCTGCAGACCCCTAGGGATCTATTGGAAAATGGGATAAAAGTAGCATTTTGATAGAGAAAATGTAGACTCGGGTTTCGCCAATCACAGGATTTTTGCGCAAATACCTTTCTGCGTTTGTAAGTCTCAGCCGCGCTTAGAAAAAATAACCCTCATCAGTCCAACTCCGGCTACACTGGCCCCAGTATCTTTTGCAAATAAGTCCATATTTCAACACGAATTTATTAATAAATTTTTATTCGAAAGTTTGAAATCTTTATGTAAAACCAGCGTTTAGTCGTTTGACCACACGCGTAAATTAAAATTTATTGATTCGGGTTACGCGTTTGGAAACAATAACCCAAAATTATTGTGCAAATAACCGAACCGTACCCAACAAAATACCTTTTGCTTGTTCAAATTTCGATTCTTAGAACAAAATGATTTTTAAATAAACAAAAAGTTAATAATAAAATTTGAAGGATTTTAGATATTTGGTATGGTAGCACGAAATGTCACAATCTGCTTAATTGTCAGGTTGTTAATATGGCGACAAAAAAGTGAAAATGGAACTACCTTCTTTTATGTATCATGCGTATGCGTGTAAAAAAACACGCCTAATGTTTCCGATTTAAGTAATGCACTTATTTGTCTAAAAGAGACATTACGCTCCCACGGCAACTTTTACCCAAATTGGTAATTGTTTTCAAACTAATTTGTTATTCGGACTTGACAGTTTTTTAATATAATTACTTTATTTGTGACCAATTCAGATTCAATTACCATGCGAATCAAAGATAAATAGTTGAATTAACTAATTACCATGCGAATCAAAGATAAATAGTTGAATTAACTAATTTTGCATTTCTGTTGTTAAAGTAAAGGAAGAATAAACAACCAAAACAGAGGAGTGAAGTCAAAGAAAGACACAAAATCTAACTGTTAAATTTAATTAAGAATCTTCTATACGAAGATTGTAATTCGCATTCGTAACTGAAACTGACGGTGCCCGGGGGAGCTAAGCTAGTCAAAAGTGAAGAATATTTGGTGGTAATTAATCTACAATAAAAAGTTAGTTGTACACTCTCGCAGAAATTACTAATTTCAATTTCCTCTTTTAGGGGAAAGATAACTTAAAACTGCCTCTTGTTATAATGGGGATAATATCAATGATCGGGGGACTAACCAGTTTAAGGTTACCTGAAACACTTCATGAACGCTTACCGCAAACGCTTGAAGAGGGGGAAAATTTTGGTAAAGAATGGTCACTTGAGAATTGTGTGCGCTGCTATTCTAAACAGTTAAGTAAATATTAAAAAACTTGAGTTCTTTTTAAAAGCAAAATAACAAATTTCAGAAAAACAATATCACATATTGAGTCGTACGAAGATTTGGATCTTCTGCAAGCAAAAGTGCTTAAGGAGGCTAAAATACAGACCGGTGAAGAAGTTGGAAACACACAGCCACAAGGGACCTCAATAAAGCGTTTAATGCGTCAAATGAGTGTAATGGATACACAAAAAAAAATTGATGGGACAATGCAATTAACCCACTGGATTTAGATTGACGGTTTCAAAATACCTTTAAAAATTTCTGCCCTCAAACATTTGTAAAACACAATACAATGTCCGTTTAAACCGAGATGTTGATGACAGTTTTTAAACATTTCCATACACATTTGTCATTATCGGTGATTCAACCATCTTACATAATAAATATTATATCAACATGTTAGTTGACAGCGCTAAAGTATACTTTTCATAAAACACACGAATTTTATTACAATCGAATTTATTTCAATACTAGAGAAGATAAAAATATGCGCGAAATATTCCGCTAAAGGTGCTTAAAATAACCACTAAAAACAACCAAGGTTGCGTTTCGCCAGATTCATTTAAGTAGAAATTATTTTAAATTTAATTTTTTATTTAATTCTAGTTGGGATTTTTCAGTTTCAATAAGCTTTTTATTTAAGTGAGTAAAAATATTGCAGCACCGTACTAAAAGTAGTAGTAAAAACAGGGCTGGTATACAAGTAATCAGCTGATACACAATATTGCGGTTTGTGTATATTGATTAGACGATCAGCCATATAATATCTCTGATTGTGGCTATTCGGATTTAATATTTATTTAAGTAAGAGCATACGTCACTTAAATAAAATTAAAAACAAATTAAAACTGACTGGTGAAACCAATAATTCGAAAAGGAGAAGAGATAAGAACAGGCATGGGCAGAGAACGAGCAAACGCTCAAAGAGCATAACCGTGTACGTTTACAGGCAAGAGCGTAACGATGGGAACACGACACGACAACATGCATAATTACCCTGCAGTGAAAAGCTAAACCAGTATGCACAAATTCCAGTTCATGAACTATTATTTAAGGATAACAGTCATACCAGTTCGTTATGAACCATAATTATACTAGTTCCGCGCAGAAAAAAGTAAACTAGTTGGTAGAAATTCTAGTTCGAAAACTGGTATTAAATGGGAGAGTCATACCAGTTCGTCATGGACTATAACTATACCAGTTCTCCGCAGTGAAATGCCAAACCAGCCAGTATAAATTCTAGTTCATTAACCAGTATGTGCTAAAGCGACGGCCTACCATTTCGGCTATTTCGAACAACTTATGTGATCAGCCACATCTGTCTTTGAATAGGCATAACCAAAACTAAAACGTGGTTAATTGCTTTCATTACAAATGTCGGCTGTGTCGTCGAGTGAAGACTACCGATTCTGGTTCTGAGATCTCAGGTTCGAGTGCGCGTGGAGGTTGTTAAAGTAAAGTAAGTAAATTAATTTAAATATTTATTTCAATTTAAATATAAAATAAAAATACAGTACATAAATTTAATTTGATTTGGAAAAAACCTAAATACTCAAATACCATAAAAAATGAAAATAAATCATTTTTTGTTCTTTTTAAAACAGTAAATTTAAAAATTACTCAAGAGATATAAATAAAAAAAAGCAAATAAAAAAAGCAAAAATAAAAAAAAATCACCCACTGAGATTCGAACTCGGATCTCTTGATTTGGCGTGCCAAAGCTTTACTTTGTCGACCATTGCCACTGTTGCAGCGCCGCGAGCAAAATGACATACTTATGCTTTCCACGGGGGATGAATAGGCAGTCTATCCCGTCAACTGATATAACGCTACTAGTATTTCTACTGGTAGCGTGCTGATGCAGGAGCGGACAATTGATATCTCCTATGACACCGCCATGTTAAAAATACCAGTCGCTATCATTGAAAAAGGATACAACGTGAACTAGTTGGGCTGAAACGCAAACTGGTAGCATTCTGGTTCACAACTGGTAGCTTTCCCTGCAGGGTAATTAAGCACACCAACACATTTCTCACTTTTAGCTAACGCTTGTTTGTGGTAGGCAGTGTTGCCAGGTCTTCGGCATGAAAAAACGTCCCTTTTGGTCTGAAAAAACGTCATTTCCTACCCAAAAACGTCTTTTTCAAATGTATGCACAGAGAATTGCTCTTATTAAACTTTTATTGCATACAAAGGTACATACGTATTTACGTAAGGTATATTAAAATATCATTTCGACAGAGCACATTTAAAATTCATTGTAAACTGCTTTGAGATCGTTATATAAAAATAATTTTATACATACACTTGTGATCAGCTGATTAAGTCATCAACATTTTGATCGATTGTGGCTGTTTTTGTTTATTTAATGTTTATTATTTTTCCATAAAAGCCTAGCTTTTTATATAACAAAAAAATATAAATCCACATTTCAAACTTTTTGCAAAAATTATAAAAAATCTGCAAAATTTCTGCTAGATTTTCTCCTTTTTATTCAGATTTTTAGGAATTTTTTTGAGTATGCTATCAAGCCTATTAAATTCCAAGGTAATAATGTGCAAGTTTTAAGTTGCTAAGGAATCGCGTTGATTTTTAGTAATTCTTTTTCTTGTAGCATTTGGTTAGGTAATCGGTTGTCGAAAATGCTAAATTACAGTCTGTAAGAAGGAACATAGCAATATTTCATATATCGTTCTTGCGTTCATTACATTTTCACGGCAGTCTTAAAAAAGTCGCCTACTTTTTTCTGACTTTTTATGCTGCTACAGCTTTTTTGGTGCTTTTGCTAGCATGCGTGTTGCAATAGATCAGCTCTTCCTGATTTGGCTTTTAATTTGTAATTGCAAACATTGCAATAAGCCTCGTAACCTCAAGTGTTTACAAAACCAGCCTTTGAACGCGGGATCCTTAGTCCAAGAATCCAAAAAAATGCGCGTGCGCTTGGTTTGCATCATAGTTAAGTCATCTCTGTCCAAAGAATAAATATCTTTTGTAGAAAAGTGCTGCGAAGAAATGCTTGTAAAGATTTGTTAAGAAAATAATTCAAAATTAGTTCTACTTACAAGATTTAGTAACAGAGAAAAATTACTGGGAAGTTAAAAACGTAATTTTTTACACAAAAAACGTCCGAACGTCAACAGGATACAAAAAACGACCAAATGACTTTAAAAACGTCAACTTGGCAACGCTGGTGGTAGTGCCCACGACTGGTTCAGAACTCTTCTTCCATGTGGTTATTGTTGTGTTTTTCTCTCTGGGAGAGCAACTGAAAAAAGTTCTGAACGCTTTTGAGTTTTGAACTCAACTTCAACTTTACTTCAGAACTAAAACGACGAATCCACCTTAAATAAATCTGGTAAAACGCTGCCCAAATATGCTCAATAAAAATATGCACGATAAAATTCCTTGAAATTGATTAAAAGAAAGAGAATGTTATTTCTTAGAGTGACCAGATGAGTCCAAGGAAAAATTAAGCCACTCGCAAGAGAACCCTTGGCCCCCTAATATTTTGTCAAGTAAAATATCTGCTATGTTCGGAGATAATTGGTTACCCATTGGCCTAGCATAGGCTTGTTGTTAAAAAGTGTGATTATATGTAAAATAAATTGTTGTCTCCCAAACAAAATATTTTGTATTATTGTATGTACTTACATATGTATATAAAATAACTAAGCAAAAAACCGGATATTAAGGATATTCCAAAGGGTGATTTATTCTGTTTGGCAAATTCAAAAATGTTTTTTTGATTTTGAAATTTTGTATTTATTTATTTTTATACAACATGCATGTACAAATAGGTACGTGTATGAATATGTGTAGATGTATCCTTTCTTTTTGTGAGGTTTTGTTTCATTATGTGAGCGTTATGTTAGTATATCTTCGGTCGGGCGTACAGGTCAACTAGAACCCCTTCGTACGAACAGTATGGTGAAGCGCATCTACGTTCAGGATACTTTTCCCAAACGTGGTGGCCATCTGCTGGATTGCATCCGCGGTAGCTCCAACGGATGCATACACAATCGTCTATTAACGTCTCCTAGTTGTACCAATTCCGCTCTTGGATACCATTCGTATCAGTATTGAATCTAGCAAGAGGTACTCCAAAAGTATAAAGGGTACTCCCCCACGTTTTGTCATTTGTCAGTCGGGCACTTATCACTTTTACTAGAACGAAGTGATGGTGCCGCCTAGACCCTAATCCGACCGAAACGTTAAAAGTAAAGAGTAAGCCAGTAAAAAGGAAGGCACAATACGAGAAGATGAAAAGTAGAAGAATGCTGAAAAGGAAATTAGTTACTGACCAAAAATATGAGAAAATTAAGAAAATTAGAAATGTTCGGTAGTGGTGTGCTGAATCGGTACCGATTTAAAAAGTATCCAATACTTTCGATACTCGATACCGTAATGGTTAGGCTTCTAATAAGAATGCACATAGACCAAAGATATGGAATAAAAGCGATTCAAGGAAACCTAGTATCTCAAAAGTCAAGTTTGGGGGCTAATAGAGCTTTTAATAAAGATTCAAATGAAAATATATATGCATTTTCCATCACCTCTGTGCACAGAATTTCTTCCTGGTTTTGTCCTTCAATGCATATTGTTCAACTTTTGGGCAAGCATCGTCTTAATCGTACTAATTGTGAAGTATACTCATAGTCGATGCAGCTTTTTTTTACAGATATTTTGTTGAAAATTATGTCAAAAAGTTGTAACTAAATTAAGTGTCGAGATCATTTAAAATAGCAATATTTTTTTTTTTATATTAGCTTGAAATTTATATTATGGCGAAGGTTTAATACATGTCTAGAATCGGCATTGGGTACCGAAAAGGAAGTATTGGGCACCGAAATCTTTTTGAAGTTGGGTACCAAGTATTGGGTACCGACAATTCAACATATCACTACTGTTCGGTGAAGGCGAGGTGGCGCATAGGCATGGTGGCGGGCCCCACCTAGCTCTTCGGATGGGAGGGTCGTTCCCATTCACCTTTCCTACACCCACATCAGCAAAAACTTTGTAGGCATGCCTAGTTATGCTAAGTGCAATGAAAAAGTAGTTGAAGGATGGGAGGATGTACAGTGGGAAAAGGAAGTCCTGTCAGTTGGAAGCCATGAGTGTTGCGACTCCTTCCGGTTAGCAACACCCCCTAATCCTGACATAAGTCTGTCTGTCTATTAGTCCGCTACCGGTCCAGTCAAGTGTTTCCACCCACATGTCCCCTCTCCAGACC